GTAATGCTCTCTTATATTAGCCTTTATTTTAATTTAATATACTATCGCTATATAAATTAATCAATTGATTTTATTGGAAATTATTACGGGCAATCACGGGTAGATCAACAAAAATTAGCCAATCATACGAATGTCTGCCCATGAGTTATAGCCTAAAAAAAGTTTTGGCCCAGTTTAGAGAAATTAAAAACTCCGGATCAGCCTGAATCTGGAATCCGGACAATAACTATGAAAGAAAAGTATGGAAGTATAAATAAGAACCGGGGAATAAATGATATTTGCTGCTGATCACAGTAATTTGATAAGTGCGATAATAGAAAATTCGGATAAAATATAGTATAGGTGACACCTACTTTAAATCAATTGATTATTTATTAAGGTGTCGCCTAAACTATATTTAATCCGAAAATTCTATATTAAAGAACTCGTTCCTTGAAGGTTTCGATAAATAACCAAACATATAAAACATATAACATCATTGCCTTCAGTCATTTGAATTTTGCGGATAATCTGGACACACTATATACAAATTATATTAAATTTATTATTCTTTTTTTTTATGATGAACAGGAAATGTCTATAATATAATATATTATTTACTTAAACATTATAAGATCAGATATGAGTGCAAGGTTTGTGATTAATTATTGTCACGGCTGAAGCTGGAAATTAGGGACCTCGATTTGAAATATAAACCATACAAAATCCACTTATACATTATATATATATATATATATAATTCACTTAAATATGAGTGTTCAAATTACTTAGCAATTTATCTTTTAGCTGCAATTTCAGTTTCTATAAAAGCTTTAATGCTTTATAATTGAAATTATATTTTCATTAAAAACATCTATATTTCATAAAAGATTTGAAAAATAACATGATTATAACTTACCATTGAATTACAGAAGAGTTGAATTTAGGAGACTGATAACTTGCATCATTATCATCTAAAAGACTTTTGAGAAAAAGGTCATAATTTTCAACAGTGCTATTCATCAAAAATTTTGCTGTAATTCCAGCTCCAACCATAATATTAGCAGGACAGCATGTTAAATTAAACAATTCTATTAACCTCCAAGTTCCAAGCCAGTACTTTCTCTCCTGTCTTTCCTTTATGTTTAAAATTGATTGCATTTTTTCACATACAAATCCACGCAATGTATTATGAGAGGGAGGCTTATTCATGTTTTGTTCATACTCAGCATTAAGCATTATAATTAAAGAAATGTAAGCTTTTTTGAGGTCATAAAGCATTTTTAATCTCTTTTCATCAACTTTATATTTTAAAGAAGTAATTTGATCAAATTGAAAAATCCATTCTTTTAAGTATCCTTCTAATTTTTCAATGCTTGTTGAATATTCGAGTGATGATTGGAATGAAATATTAACTTCAATGTCATTTTTATCGAAGAGGTCTTCGAAATTTGTAGTAAGGGAATCTCCAATTGAATTGCTATTTGAGAAGAGTTTGTCTCTATTTAATGTTAACTGAGTTAACTGTTTATTCGCGAATTTATTTTTAAGGACTTTTGCCTCATTACTTAGATCCTAAAAATTTAGTATAAATGAATGAGATTCTTAAATAAACTTTTAATAATGTAATATGTAAGTTAATATACATAATCTTAAACTTACTGAACTTTCATTGTTAGTATCTCCCTTTTATTGATAAATAAATTAGAAAACACTGAAACTAAAAAAAAACACAATATCATAGGACTCAATAGAAAAAATATTAAGATAAGATTTATTCACCCTATTCACTTGTTTACCCTTAGAATCTGTTGTTTTGGGTTTCTTTGATATTTCATACTTTCATTTGATCTTATGTTTGTGCTTTCGGGCTGAAACACCTTGTTCCTCAATTTCTTCTTCAGAATTCGAATCATCTGATTCCTTGATACAGAATTATCATACAGATTTTCATTATATTGGTGTTAAAGATTTTAAAATCAAAATTTCAATAATATCACATACCAAAATGTTAATAGAATCATTTGAAGCTGGATAGTTTCAAATAGTTAGAAATAATTAATGATAGTTATACTAAAAATTTATTTTAAGTCTTACTTCTTGGTTCCTCGACTTTATCAATATAAAATTCCTGTTAAACAAAATTATACAATTAGAGCTATTCAAAATTGATACTTAGTAATGATTATAATTATTATTATAATTATTATTATTACAAATTATCTTTATTATGATGTATCAGTTAAAATTCTTACCGGAATAGGGTCATCAACATAAACTGAAGGCGAATTAGAAGGAACATTTATCACTGTGCTTTCATTAGCCTTTTGTTTTTCTTTGGCCTTTTGTCAATTACGAATTAGTTTTCGATATTACAAAGCAAAAAATTTATTCATGATATTTACTTGTGATTTGAATTTTTTCGAACTTCGAAAAGTTTAGCTGATTATAGGTTTGCGCTTTAGGCTCAACCTCGATGTTAATTTATCAAAATTTTGTTTGATTTCTTCGGAATCAGATTGCAGATCACCAAATTTTTGTGTTTCCTGTAAATTTTTACATATTATATATTATGTAATTCTATGATGATCTGAAGAAGTCAAAACATAATGTTTATATACAGACACGACATTTTTTGCTTAATCCTTTTTGACTGCATCAGTAATTTCAGCTGGGGTGTTGACTGATTCATACTTTAATAGATTTTTATTCTTTATTAAACATAAAATGCTTAAAATAACTGAATCAAAAGTAAAATTTTCTTACCTCTCTATTATCATTCTGATTCTAATATATGTGTTAGCATTTTTATTAATTTAAAAAAGATTTGGAATTATTCTTACCTTCCCATCAAAAACTTGTTCTTCGATTTCTTCATCTGAATCTGTATACTCGTCAGATTGCAGATCAGCGTAGTTTTGAGATTCCTTTTGTTAATTTTATTGTATTAAAAATAAACATGTAATTCTATAATGATTACACCATTCTGAAAGGATCACTTTTTGAAATTTATTAGTATTAGTTATTTACCTCAACACCTTGGACTTCGTTTAATTGAGTGCTC